AATGATAATTAATATATTTTAAAAGTAATTTTAGGAAGATTTTAATTATTTTATACTTGTTTTGATTTTATTAATGATTATTTTCCTTCTTAATTCATTTTATTTTATCTTGAAAATAAAAAATTTAAAAAAATAATCAAACATTTATTATTTTAATTATTTGATTAATTTAGAGTTGGTTACACAATCACAAGAATTTATTTTTTTTCATTGGCATATCTTTTATTTTTGTTTTATCGATATTTTGTTGACAATATGGCTGAGAAAAAAATAAATAAAAATTCTTTATTTTACCAATTATCATATTTTGAAACCTTTAAAAAAAAAAAATTATTTTATTAAAATAAAATAGAAAATAAAAAAAATAAACAAACAATAACTTGTTTATTCTTTTTTGGAAAAAAAAAATTTTTTTTTTTTTTTTTCAACAAAACATCGCGTGCTTTACAATTCATACTAATTTTTACTTCGAAATACATATCCCGAGAAATATNTGCATTCTTCGTATTCTCGCCAAAAAAAAAAAAAAAAAAAAAAATTATAATATTCTTTATTACATTTTAAATTCGTTGGGGCTCATTTCTTAAAGAGAGGCTTTTCGGGCTTATCGAGACTTCATGAAATATTGAGGCTCATCAATCCATTTCCATTATCTTTGTAGGGAAAAAAAAAACTGTATTTTCAAGGATCCGTGCGAGAACTTTTTTCTGCGATCTAGTTTTTTTTTTCTTTTTCCTGCGATTTTACCTGCGATCTAGTTTTTTACTTTTACTTGCGATCTAGTTTTTTTTCTTTACCTGTGATCTAGTTTTGTTCTTTTCCTGTGATCTGGTTTTGTTCTTTTCCTGTGATCTGGTTTTTTTTTCTTTTTCCTGCTATCATTACTTTGATCTAGTTTTTTTTTTTTCCAAAAAAATTTAAATTAATTCAATTACGAGAGAGAATATAAAATATGAATTGATTACGTACTCCAAGTTTACAATTACAGTACAACTGTTCTTTTAAATCTTTTCATGTGATCCTTTGAAATCTAACTACGTAATGATCCATGTTTGGCTTGTGACTTTACGAATCAAAAAAGATTGAATAAAATATGATTCTTTATTATTAAAAAGAAAGATTTTTATTTGTTTTAATTAATAAATTAAAAAATCATTAACAAAGCCAAAGAAAATAATATATAATGATCGATCTTTCTTCTTTATTATTATTATACTACTATATTACTATATGATTATATGATTATATGATTTGTATGATTTGTATGATCAAAATAATTATTCTTTAAAAAATATAATAAATATAATCGTTATTAAAGCCATAAATATATTTGTATCGTGATTTTACGATTACCGTACGTGTTTTTTTTTATAAAGAACAAATTAGAACAAATTATATATATATAAATTATATTTATCTCGAAAATTTGACGGAAAAATAATAAATTTTAGATACCTGATTATCTTAAAAATAAACAAATGTACGTTCCAAATTTAAAGTTATCGGTTATTTAAATCTGACAGGTAAAATCTTAAAAATTAATTTCTTGTGACGTTTTACGTAATAAACCCGGTTAGTAATTTTCATTAGCCAATCAGATCTTAAATTTATATAAACAATTTTTGACAAAAAGGAAATCATGGTTTACATTATTAAGGTAATAAATATAAAATGAAAAAAAAATATCCAAATTCCCCGGTATAAACAAATATAACCTGTTTGAAATTAACCATAAAAAAATAAACTACAAAAAGTTTTTTAATTATTGAAAAGGTAATTCGCGAGTTTCCCGCAGTTAATGATTCAAATGTCACGAATGTCACGAATGTCACGTTTTTAATGGAAACGCCACGTTAATGTAACGTATAATGTTAATGTTAATGGTTTACGTCACAAAATTATTTATTTACGAATAAAATACAATAAAGTGAAATCTTTTTGATTGTATAATTCATATTTTAAATATATAAAATATTAATAAATTTAATAAAATTTAAAAATTTTCCTTATCATTATATATGTGAGAATTTTTTAACTATGATGTTCACAACGTAATTTGATTGGTTGATTATCAATACATTTGATTGGCCGATTTTAAACTCTAGAGAAAAAAATAACGTATACGTGGTATAATAAAAAGACTTTGTAAACGTTCTTTACGAGAACACATAGCCACAAAGAATGAATTAAAAATTCTTCAACTTTGATATTTTTTTTACGAAAAGAATGAACCAATTATATACTCTATAAAAATTAAAATTAGTGTTTATAATTTTAAAGAACCAATCAAACCGGAAAATTTGGTTTAATTTTTAAGAGAATTCATTTTCTTTAATGATAAACTAACGGTAAACTAACGGTAAACTAACGGTAAATTAACGGTAAATTAACGGTAAATTAACGGAAAAATAATGGAAATTTTTTTATTTCGATTATAATATTTTATTTTATTTTATCTTTTTTTACACGGAAAGATTTCTTCGTTATTATATTAATTTCGGTATATTAATTTCGATATATGATGCACCACGGGAAATATGATGGCTTTGCATACTATCTTTCATTATTATTAGTATTACATTCTAATTAATTAACTATAAAATATTTTTTTAAAATTCTAATTCAATTTATGATTTAAGGCTTATTTTCTTATATAATTCCTTACAAAATCATGCCATCTTTTTTATATTACGAGGCTTTTATATAGAAGAAGGCTTAAAATCACCTAAAATCACCGTTAATTAGGCTTATCCTAACGGTTCATATCTATACATATATTTTTTATTTTTTTTATAACAAGCGAGGCTTATTTATGAGGCTTAAGATAGGCTTGTAAATAAAATAGATCAATATAACGGATATCTTGGCTGTTATAATATTTTTACTGCGTGGGGTTTGTGGCTTTATATACCGTATAATATGATAATATGATTATCAACATAAAAAAAAAAAAACTGAAAAAAAAAAAAAAT